TCATAATAAGAGCACTAAACTAAATAGTCCAGTCAAACCATTCAACCTTAAAGTAAAAACAGGATAAACTCGTTTTTTTTTTTTTTTTAAAGTGACCGTGTGTCACAGCTATTGACAGATGTACAGCTGTAAAGGAGGTCAGCCTTTTCACACAAACAGAACACACACAATGGCCTCCGATTTTATTGAAAGCATGGCCTCACACCTGCTGTGAATCACCAGCACTCCAGAATACACTGCATCACAGAAGACAACCACTGTCAGAAATTGCCTTTGAAATGATTTTTCCCCTTTTCACAGAAACTATTATAAATAGTTTGTCAATGAGTGTTTCTAGCCAATGTTCCCTTTGCTTGTGTGTAAAATATGCAATTCTAAAATTATTTGTAATCAGTTGGTTGCAACATAGTTATCAAAGATTTAAGTCAATTATGGAGCACATACATGAAGTCTTATCAAAATAAAGATATAATATGCACCCTGTGTTAAGTCATGTTTCTTGTTCTTTTTTMAAATGGTGGAAGTTAATGATCATCACACATCTGACTTTTGGGTATTGCTGTTATCTTTAGTAGCTTCATTTTATTGTGCCTATTACTTGTTGTCTTTACAGTATATCATTTTATCCTGTGTTGCTTTGTCCTGGCATTTTAAAATAAATAGTTCAGTTCTTTGGAAAAGTTATGAACAAATAATATCTTACTTGTTGTAGACAACCTTTTCAACAACCTCAAGTTGAAAAAAATGGACTTGGATTATGTTCAAGTTGATGAACTGAACAAGACCACAAAATATTCATTGAATCTGAACTTTTTTTTGTGGCTCATTCAAACGTGAAACCTTAACATTAATTTTAAATTGCATGGTAATTTTCTAGTGATTATGTGGTCATTTGTAAGTCAGAACGTCAGGCAGAAATATTAAATGTGATCCTGATAAACTACACAGTCTAACATGTATGTTGGTAAACACATTTATAAATTTGAGATCACACACACAGCATTTATTTGTATTTTATACTAGTTTTTTTCTCTTGAATTATTATTATTTTCACTCATTTTATTTCCTAAACTGGGCTTGTAGAGCTACAACACGTACGACATTAACTGTCCATATTTTCCTTTTCATTTAGGTTTTGTAAATTTAGAGGASCATTTGTACAAATTTGGTTTATTTTTCTCCATGAAACAATGTTCAAAAACAAAATCTTGTTTAAACTTAGGGAAAACAAATAAACAAAAACAACAATAACATGCCATTACTAGAATTGTTGTTTCTTACTATGACCACATTCATAATAAAGTGGCAGACATTTTATGCCAGAATTTGATTGGCTGAAAGCAGTAGGCTGTATAGTTTAATCTCACTTGGCTGAAAGCAAAAGACAAGATTAGAACGAAGCATAAATTAATAAATGAATTACATCTGTGTAAAATAGTTAGGAGGTTTTTTTTTTAAAAAAGGATAAAAATACATTAAATTTTTATCTTTTATGAAAATGTTTTCACACTTTGTCATTTTGACTTTGTTTTAGCTTTCTTCCCCCATTTGTATTGTCTTTATATTGCAGGAACGTCAGTGACTCATCTGAGACTTATTGTTCATAAACCTAACCCTAACAGGTTTGAAATAATTTCATGTTTTTTATTTTGTTTTTTTTTATTGTTTTTCACATTTTTGTTGTTGACAAAACTCTTTCCTATCACTCTTGTTTCTTGAGAAACCAAAAATGAGTTTTAAATCAGAGSACTGTATCAGCTGTGGCTTTCATACAACGACAGTATTCTCATTCAGCTCCTGAAGCACCACATCAACTAAATYAAAGGATCTCAAGTGATCTTGAAAATGGCTTACAGCAGCATGTCTTCTGGAGGATAATCATATGGTTATCCAGCACAGATGGAACATAAAAATTGCATGCAGCAGGCGTTTTTATTGTAGGTTGCAAATTAAGGTGCCTAAGGTGCAATACAGCAATGCTGGCTTTGCATAGTTTTCTGATCCTCATGTGAGGTCAGTGGAACCCTAAGGTATCACTTCATTTTTTTCCACCAGGATTTAGTATTTTCATCATTTTGGAGGAATGAAGATAGAACAAAGTACAAACTGTGCACATTTTGGGAGGAAATGAGTGAGTAGACGTATTACTGCAAAATTTAAAGAGAAGAAACAAATGGTAACTTAGTCTATTGTTTGTGTGAAACAGCAGATGGTGTACAGTGTTTCGATTTTCTTTTTGACAAGGCCAGAACAGAGCACGTTTGGGTTGTGATCTTTCCCGAGTTTGGGTCTTCTGGGAAAACAGGCTGAAATGTCACAGCACCAATAGTACTCAGTGCACCGCAGTGTGGAGTTGGGTAAAGGTGAATGTTGTCAATAAATCAAAAAATGCCCTTCAATATGTGAAAAAAATACTGTAAATACCTGGAAAAAAAAGATGCATTACTCACAGTGTGGAAAAGATTATTTAAAACTATACACAAAAAATGTAGAACATTTTATTTGGCAAGAGATGTTTGAGATTATAGTGYACTTTTGAATTGTTTTTGCAAATTATCTTAGCTTGTCTAATACAGGGATGGGCAACTGTTGGTCCATGGGCCATGTCTGGCTCACAAATGATCTCTGRCTGGCCAGGGAATATCTGTTCACAGAATTTCAAGATCTGCATAGAGACATCTGCCATGAAGGATTTTAATATGTTACCTCTACATCCCATTGCACAAAAGTAAATATGGGAAGTATACACTCACCGGCCACTTTATTAGGTACACCACGCTAGCAACGGGTTGGACCCTCTTTTGCCTTCAGAACTGCCTCAATTCTTTGTGGCATAGATTCAACAAGGTGCTGGAAGCATTCCTCAGAGATTTTGGTCCATATTGACATGATGGCATCACACAGTTGCCGCAGATTTGTCGGCTGCACATCCATGATGCGAATCTCCCGTTCCACCACATCCCAAAGATGCTCTATTGGATTGAGATCTGGTGACTGTGGAGGCCATTTGAGTACAGTGAACTCATTGTCATGTTCAAGAAACCAGTCTGAGATGATTCCAGCTTTATGACATGGCGCATTATCCTGCTGAAAGTAGCCATCAGATGTTGGGTACATTGTGGTCATAAAGGGATGGACATGGTCAGCAACAATACTCAGGTAGGCTGTGGCGTTGCAACGATGCTCAATTGGTACCAAGGGGCCCAAAGAGTGCCAAGAAAAGATTCCCCACACCATGACACCACCACCACCAGCCTGAACCYTTGATACAAGGCAGGATGGATCCATGCTTTCATGTTGTTGACGCCAAATTCTGACCCTACCATCCGAATGTCGCAGCAGAAATCGAGACTCATCAGACCAGGCAACGTTTTTCCAATCTTCTCTTGTCCAATTTCGATGAGCTTGTGCAAATTGTAGCCTCAGTTTCCTGTTCTTAGCTGAAAGGAGTGGCACCCGGTGTGGTCTTCTGCTGCTGAAGCCCATCTGCCTCAAAGTTCGACATGTTGTGTGTTCAGAGATGCTCTTCTGCCTACCTTGGTTGTAACGGGTGGTTATTTGAGTCACTGTTGCCTTTCTATCAGCTCGAACCAGTCTGCCCATTCTCCTCTGACCTCTGGCATCAACAAGGCATTTCCGCCCACAGGACTGCCGCTCACTGGATGTTTTTTCTTTTTCGGACCATCCTCTGTAAACCCTAGAGATGGTTGTGCGTGAAAATCCCAGTAGATCAGCAGTTTCTGAAATACTCAGACCAGCCCTTCTGGCACCAACAACCATGCCACGTTCAAAGGCACTCAAATCACCTTTCTTCCCCATACTGATGCTCGGTTRGAACTGCAGGAGATTGTCTTGACCATGTCTACATGCCTAAATGCACTGAGTTGCCGCCATGTGATTGGCTGAATAGAAATTAAGTGTTAACGAGCAGTTGGACAGGTGTACCTAATAAAGTGGCCGGTGAGTGTATAAACAACAGTGACAGAATCACTAGCAGGAGTCTGAACTCAAGGTGGCTTGTGCTGTTGCACTTACGCTCACCAAATCAGGGCTCATTTTTTGTTTGTTTCAAATGTTTTGCATTCATATTGATTAAACAAGTGTATAACAGTTTTGCATGCATTTGAGCAGGCCAAGATGCAATTCTGCGACCTTCTTGCTGAGAGGCAAACATTGCCGAAAAATAATTAACAGGCTGAAAAAGCAATCAATTAAATTAAAGCCTAAAACAAAATGTCAAGCTAAAACATATATTAGCTCATTTTGATCACTAATGAATAGCAGGTACCAAAATAATTCAGTTGCAAGCTGTTGTGGGCTACATTTATTCAGAAGAAAGCTGCTGACGTTGGACGTTGTTCAGATCAAAAACTGAGCTAAAATCAGCTGCCAGTTTCTGGACATTTATTGACCTGAGGCTGGAGCAGGGAACAATCTAAGATTTATCCCATAAAACCATGCACATGAAAAGTTAGGTTTAGTTTATTAGCCTTTCTAAAGCCTACATAACCTATTATGGGCCATCATCCAGTGTGAAGGGAGAGCTGAACAAAGATTTATCATACATGACTTGATTCTGCAGCATATAGACCTTTAAAATAATATACTGGAATGACAATACATGTCACTTAAAATGTTCATTTAAACAGTTCATGTGTACATTTTTAGAACAAGTTCTGTGTGAGGTTTTTTTGTAACTAACTGTTTTCAAAAATCATCTGGGAGACCATATATTTTTATTTTTTTCAGAACTGTTTTTTTGTGACTATTTATTCTTGATGTAAAAAAGTATGAAGAATTATTTGAGGTCCTGGAGAAAATTTGTATTTTATTGTTATGTAATTTTACTGTTTTTCTGTTTACGTTGCATGTGCAAACACTATTCATGTTGTCAAAAGGTATTTATTTCAGTAGAGAAGAAAGACAGAACTAATTTGTTCATGATTATTTATTGATGTTTGGGAGTTAAATACATTTTGAAATGAATGAGAGCACACTGCTTGCTTAATAATAACTTTATTGAAGAATACAGTGGTTTTTGAAGGCTTTCTCAATTTAAATAAAGACATATTTGGATAGTAAGGTGAACACATTAATGTCTGTAAAGAATTCCAAGACTTTAGTTTGGTAAATTAATGTTCAACTCCGCTCCATACATCGTAAGTAAAGTCAAGGAGAGAGAAAAAAAGAAACAATAAATGGAACCAGTCCATGATCATATGTTTCATCATCCCAAAGGCAAAGTAGTGAAGTTGTTGAGAAAAACCCTTCATTTGATTCTGCATGCAAGTCTCTCAGTACACACAACAGATAGTTTAAATCTGTATGAAAGCAGCTCAAAATACACAACTGAACACACAATCACAATGAATTATCTTTTTTCCCAGCGTGGTGTGAAGTGATAAAATGATTAACGAGACGCCAGCAACTGATTTCCTCCTGTCTAAAATTCATTTAACACTGACTTCGAATAAAATCAAGTGATTGTGCTTTTAAAACCCAAGTAGAACAAATTATACAGACAAGATGTACATCACTTAGAAAACATTAACACTGATATATATAAAATTTGAAGCACTTCTGTGGCAGTAAACAATTTACAAGATGGCTGGTAATGACCGTAGATCAGTTACGAAACAACAGACAAACAAATATCATACAAACCGCATCAAGCAGTACTTCTGGAGACACTCATGTCAGCCATCAAGTGTGCATTCAGTATACTTTTTTAATGACCAGCAGATCAGAGACCTGGAAGCAGCTGGTACACAACAACAAACAAACAAAAAAAACATTATAAACAAGTCCACAAACTTTCTCAGTTTCTTTTTTTCAACACCAAATGAAAAATTCAAAGTAGAAAATATTGTGCATTGTGCAGTATCTTTGTCCTTGTTGTAAAAGTCCTCTGGAACAGTTGCAGGGTATTCTTCTTGCTCCTATATTGTACCTTAGCTTTTCAGCAGCTGTGAAGATAAAACAGGGTCAGTTTCTTTGCTTTTGCTTGATGTCTATTAATTTGCAACAAAGACAACAACAAACACTTAAAAATTAGCAGAGATACAACATTAGGCAGCCAGACAGGAGGAAATGAACTAAAACTGTACAAGCTGAAAAGTCGTGTCACTGTGAAGCAATGACTAAAATATCAGATCAAATGAGGTACACCGTGGGTCTCATGTCAGCAGTGTGGCATTCCTTTTGGGCATCAGTACTGTGAGGAAGTGAGCTATACATTTTTATCCTTTCCTGCAGCAAAATGACACATTTATAGACAGCTATGGGCTGTTTATAGACACGTGATGTTTTTCAGCAGGCAGTGTCTTCCTAAAAGACTAGCCAGCATGCTATTTCAAGGGAGTTAAGCCGTATGATGCATGATGTACCTGATGCAGTGCTGTGCAGACAGTATCCCCTGAAGTCAGGCAACCTGAAGTCATACCCTATGTCTCCCCATACAATGACGACAGGAGTGACACTGATGTGTCTCATATCTTTGGCAGGATTGATCCTCTCCCCTCAGAGCTACCATYTAAACAATGGTCATCCATTGTTGTAGAACTGAGATTCATTGTTAACCAACACCATTTGTCATCAGTCAATACTTTGAAGTTACAAAACCACTCRGTAGGCACACACTTCTGCTCTGGTGTAATGACYCCTGCAGTCWGGCTTTTACTACTTGTAAAAATAAYATTTGGGATGAGAAAGAGCAAAGTGTCRGATGTCTGTCTGGATACCATGCACATATATCCAGGAGTTTCGTAATGCTTTATTCACAAAAATGAAGTTCCTCTTTTGCATGGTGTGGTTTGCTTTGGATGACCAGAACCTTGACAGATTGGCTCCAACGCTGGACTACCATGACATCTGTGCACCCCACACGCTGGGCATTTATACGCAAATTTGTGAAGCCTTTCTCATTTTCCTGCATATTGGTAACAGAAAAGTGTTGTAGTCTTGTGAATGTTCAAGTAAAATGAGACAAAACTGACTCATTTGCAGAAAAAATTGGTTTTTAACATGTTTTTTTAAACCCATAATCTTCCACTTCATGATGGAAGAAAGCTGGAAACAAAATTCGAAAGTATTACTTAATTAATAATAATAATAATAATAATAATAATAATAATAATAATAATAATAATAATAATAATAATAATAATATCAGCACAGACTTGGAAAAAAAACTTAAAACAATCTATTGTATAATATGACCACCCAGCTGCATGCAAAACAACAACGTGACCCTTATCAGCTGTTTGTTGTTGGTAACAATGTCTAAAGCTGTGCCTGGTGGTCATCACTCATTGTTTTTAATGACTGTCTGATGTTCTGGCAGCTGCCTGATAACACTGTTACTTCACATTTAGTGCAAGCATGTCTACCCTCTGGTGGCTGTTCGACACCAACACGCTCCCTCTGAAATATATTTTTTTACATACCGGTTACTGATCTGCACGTGTATTCACTGACATCAACATCAGATCACTCTAAGCACAAAGCTTTGTTTTGTCAGCCAGTGCATTTTAAAGTTTGAATCTTGATGTCTGTTTACCTCATCCACCTGTCCTGTAGAGGGAACCTGCTCTCCCTGTTTGGTCCTGGAGCTGCCACAAGATTGAAAGCCGGAGGAATTCGAGCCTTGCTCCCTCTGAGCGTGGCCTGATGGGAAAGAGGGACGACTGTAAAGAAGTATGTCCCTAAATTCTGGAGGAGAGAGATTGAACCAAACCAATTAGTCGGTTGAACATTAAATAACCTCAAAAAAGTTTCCAAGTGAGCAAATTAATTACCGTTACCTGAGTGCTGTCGGCTTTTGCTATTTCCTTTCCCTCCTTGTGGAGTTTTATGTGTCTCCTGATTCTCTCTTTGCTCCAATGCGCCTTCTCTGACCTTGCTTGTCCCAGCGCTGCCTCGTCTGCCCCGGGCCTGCCCAGAGCCCATCCGAGGCAGAGTGGCCCCTCTCACTTTGTAGTCACAGTGGGACATTTGACTAGTGAAATTTAGAGGCATGCAAGTGTCTGGGGATAAAGCAGAACAAAACGAACCTATAATTAGGGTTATTAAAAATGTGTATAAGAACAAATGGAATCCATATTTTTTGTCTTTACCATCACTAAATATATCTTTGGATTGGCAGCTCTGTTGACCCGACTGGTTTGGTTTATGCCTTCTGGGCCTTTTATGTGTTATAGCAGGACTCATGTTGCTGTCCGTTGACATAGGGCTGCTTGCTCGCTGCTGTCGCCGGTCTGTAATCATCACATAAAACACAATTCTCATTAACACAAAAATGTATATTGAATATAGCATTTAGCAAGAAATTACAGCACGCTAGACAGTGAAGAAACAACTTTAGTRTTCTGAGTGCTAATAAACATTAAAGCAATGATAATCAATATCAGATATTTGATGTGGACTTAACAATTAAGAGCTCATTTGCTGTAAACTGCTATTAGAAAGGTGTCAATTTGGATAAAAAAAAAATAGATAGAAAAAAGTTCTCGTCAGGCTGACAAGCTAACAGCAACACCAAAGGATTTACATTTCAGAAGTATTTTGGCAAAACATTCAGATTTTACTACCAGGAGTACCTAAGGCTTCAACAAAAGTGCAGCATAGCTGCTGTTACCATTTTGTGATTGCACATGTCCATATAATTCAGTGTAAACTACTATCTGAAACAAAATCCATAGTGGTGGYGACATTTCACATGAACTACAAATGGAAGCAATTGATTCTGCTTTTAGTCTCACACTGATTAGGTGTTAGCTCGTTAATCCAGTCACAGTTCAACTCTATTTATACAAACTGGTGTTCAACAGGTAAGATATTTATTGTTCACAAGTTTCCACAGAGCCCCCACTTCAAAAGATTTGAACTTTTGTTTCAAATCATTTCACTTCGCTGTTTTTTTTCTGAATGTCTGCTCATGTTGCCTGATAGTGTTAGTCAACTGCAAAGTGTTAAAGTTGTAACTGTATGTATTAAACTTAAAACGGCAAAACAAATAAATAAAATAAAAGTTTCAACATACTTTTGTAAATCATGCAAAATGTAAAACCGAGTAAGCAATATGTTCAAGTGATGATGAGCAAACTCCAGCCTCACCTGACTCCTCTGGGTACCTGCACACCGGCAGTCCCACAGCATCCCGCGACGAGGCTACTGCCTGACTAAAATCACCGTCTGTGAAGAAAGAACCCTCCGAGGTGCTGACAATGCTGGACCTGCCTGACGAGATGTTGTCCTCCGATGCCGAGCCCCAGCTGTTAACCATAGACCCTGTGACGGATCTGTCCAGGTCTCTGGTGCAGGAGGCCGGGGTCTGCTCCAGCTCTCGGAGGAGCTGCTTGTGCGGAGAGAGGTGGTGCAGCTGGTGCTTGTGCTTCTGGTGGGGGTGGTGGGATTGGCTGTAGAGAGCTTCAGCTAGCTCTGCTTCCGTTTCCTCCTCCACCTCTTCCTCGTTGTCTTCTTGTCCATCTGCGTCCAAGCAGAGGGGGATGGAGCTGTAGGTGTGGTTGAGGTGTTCGGCTCCATCYTGTAGGCCGTTGCTCAGGTTTCCCTGCGGGGGTGTGGCAACTAGGTGACTGCAGGACACTTTGGCAGGAGATGAAGGAGCTCCTCGAACTGGAGGGGTGGGGCAACTTCTTATTCTGTCCTCTGGATCAAAGCTGTGAAAAAATAAGTGAAATAGAGTGATAGCAAAAATAAATGAAGTAATATATTAATAACTGTATTATGACGTTGGTAAAAGTGTTGATAGTAGTAGTAAGATTTTGTTTCGACAGGTTTGCAGGTATTGACAAAGCTAACTAGATAAAATTCAAAGCTAAAATCAAGTAAACATGAGCAGATGGAATCTGAAATTTGCAAAAAAAAAATGTTTAAAAACGTGAAAGGCACAATAAAGATTAAAAAACATATATTTTAAATGATTTTAAGGATGATGAAGATAATTCCATTCATTTTCAATGAGGAAAAAATGCAGAAAAAGCTAATTATTTCAAAAAGTATATAATGCTTATGTATCAAAAGTCATAGCCAGAAGGTCCTGAAGGAGCACAAGGTTTTGATATATGCAGTACATTGTTGAAATAACACAAAATTTGTGGAACGAGATAAGTGACGAAAAATGCATGAAAGAAAAAACTATCTCAGTAGTGTGAATGCCTTATAAGCATTCACACTATTAGACTTGCATATCTCAATTTTATCATTTAGCTTTCTTTTCAAAATAACCTTTAATAATAATCAGTTTATGTTGGAGAAATGGGTAAACAGAACCGTTTCATGTAAAAGTAATATAACAAAAAATGTATTGATTTTGTGCATTATGAAGCAGTGGTTTTGTATTCCTTCACTCGTATATCAGTATCAGCTAAATCAGTTTCCTCCTTTTTTTTTTTCTTTACCTCACTTCCATGGGCAGACTATACTCATCGCAGTCCAAGGCATTAGCATGAGGTGCAGACATGGCTTCCCCCCAGGTTACTGCATTATGTTTTGGCATATTTTGGGCCTGCATTGCTTTCTTTTGATTTTGACTCCCTGAGAAATGAAAAGCAAACATCAAGGTAAGCACAGACGGACCGTTTGCCTCATTAATATTAAGCACCGGGAAGGAGCAGATGATGGCCTCACCTGAGGTGCTGTTACTGCCTCTGTCTGAGCTGTGGTGGGAGCCGCCGGTGCTATGGTCTCGGCTCTGGCTGTACATGATGCTTCCATGCAGATCTAAAAAAAAAAAAAAGCAGTGTGCTAGTTTGATGCATCGTCTTTTTAAACTTGCACTCCCTGGTAAAAGCACATCAGATTTGCTGCATACCTTTGCTTTGCTCAGCTGTGTTGTGCTGCATCTGTGCAGCCAACTCTTTGGGTATTGGAGGCAGATTTGGCGGCTGTTTCCAGCAGGGTATATCTAGAGGCTCTGCTGCGGAGCCACTGGTGGCTGCCTTGTTTTTGATGCTGGCCTGGATGAGCTGTGTTGTGGCATATGGAATGGGCTCATATGTGGCTGACGGATCCCCTCCTGGACTTGCATAGCAAAAATTGGAGTTGTTATAGGTTTTAATCTCACTAAGCTTGTTGGAGAGGTTCACGTCACTGTAGATGGCTGTTTCAGAACCAAGCTGTCCTCCTTGTTTGTTTTCTGGATGGCTTCCATAATTGGCTATGCAGTCAGCTGAGAAGACGAAACAAAGCAGCACATGAACAAAGCAATAACGCAGCAAGCCATTCATCTTTAGCATTTTTACAAAGTGGGGTTTATTCTTGCAATTTTAGGAGCTTCCAACTGAGCTATGAGGTGATCTTTGCACTGACCTGGCCGGCTGTACGTTGTCATGTTACTGTCACTGGTGCCGTTGCCAGTATTGCAGCAGTTGATGCTGCAGTCCTTGTGATTGGCACATGCACTGGGCCAGTTTTCTGGCAGCCACAGCTGGTTCAGTGGCTCGCCCATGCTGAGAGGGACAGCTCTGCAACAAGGAGGACCACAGAGCTGTCAGTCAAACCCTGCCGTCTTCATACATCACTAATGAGTGAACATGCAGTGGATGAACAGAGCATTTCAAAGAGCAGGAAGATGTCTCCCTCTAGTGTCAACACAGTGTAACTGACTGGTCTTTATTTAACACAAAGGGACAAAAGTATCTGTCACCTGCCAGCGCCGCACACSGTGTCTCCTCTTTGATATGCAACTGGAAGGACACAGAAAAAAGATTCAACATCAGTGAGGAATGAGGACTTTTAGCAAAAATCTCAAGCCATAAGTGTGCATAGTTTCTGCCTGGTTTGATTTYCACGGACACAAATTGCCTGAGCATTAAATTATCTGCAGATTTTTAAAAGGTGTTTAAGAAACAATGTCATTAACACACAAATTACTCTACTTTTTTATCTTTGCATAAAATTAAATTGATCTGATCAGCTGAGCATGAAGGTTTACACCTAGAAGTGTTTATGTTTATGTCTATACAATAATCTATACATGATTTATTGAGGAATTGTGTGTTTGCTTGCTACTTTTTGGTGTTAAGACACTAAAATGGAAAAATGGTCTGTGTAAGTTTGACAGCATTTCCCAGTTTTCATAAGTATTGAAGRAAGCAGCCTTTTCAAAGGGGGAAAATACAGCYAAAATAAAACATTTAATGAAACAAGAGGGTTATCTCTGCACATAAAACAGTGCAAACATTATTTAACAAGTTGTCCAGCACATACCTGTGGGTGTAAATGTGAAAGATGGGACTGTAGAAGAAAAAAAAAAAAACAGACATAAATCAGCAGCAATACATGGCGAGTAAATTTTCAAACTGCATTAGCAAAAATAAAACTGTCAGGGTTGGCTGAATTTATGTTGTGCATTCGTGCAGTTTCTGCAGCATCTCTTCAAAATGCATCAGTTTGTTGTGCAGATGAGTTGAAAACGACGGCTGCTTCTGTCTTTGATTTAAATGTCCAGCTGAAGGTTAACGAGGGTAACGAGGAACTTGACAGAGAGGAGGAAAACAGCAGAAATATTGTGGTGGCTGTGGATGTGGCAGGTTGACAGTTCTGCGCCTCCGAGTGAGGAAARGACACTGTACAAATAAGTGATTAAAGGTCAGCCTTTGAATGTCTACATAGCCTCGAATGCAAATTAGCCACTGAAGACGTTGTGTCAGAAAATGATTGGACCAGAGACCTTTTTTTTTGCCCTTTGATGTGATCTCAGCCTCTGAAAATAGTCTTTAATATCACTGGCATATAGTGGTAGCAAGTCATTGTTTGATCTCTACTGTAATCAAACAAATCCATCTTCAAAGGGTAATGACATTGTTATTATTATTTTTTTAAGATGCACTCCGTCTATATGGTTAAGAACATACATGTTTGCATCAAACAGTCTTAAATGGTGAAAGAACATAGGAACACACCCTTYCGGATGCCAGTGTAAGTGCTGCTGAGGCCACTCCTCTTCTTACGGTGCCGATAGAGCCACACACTGAAAATCATGAGAATCAACCAGCAGGTGGCGCCAATGCCAGCAATGAACGCTGGCTGCTTCACCACATCTGAGATCTGAGCCAAAGTGTCTCTTTTGTGACTAATGTCCATCATCTGGCCTGTGGAGTCTGATCAGTGAAAGCAGAAAAACACGCACAAAAAGCAAAAATTTCAGTGGGTGCAGATAAGTTCATGGAACAAAAGCATTTTTTCTTCATAAAAACAGATAAATATATAAAGCTCACATGGTAAAATTTTGCCTAAGACCAAATCTGAGAGCTCATACATTTTCAAACAGAAGTAACTGGGTTTTAAACTATTACCTAACTGGAAGAAAGCAACATCACTCTTGACTCCTGGTCCRGCATTATTACTGGCTGCAACTTCGACACTGTAGCGGATTCCTGGAGCCAGGCTGGGAATGAGCACTGAGAAGGTGGAACCATCCACTGACTGGTTCACATGGTAGCGGCTTTCATTACCCAAACACCAGATCTGTCAAAACAAGATGACATGACAGTATTTTGTTTAAAGGAGAGATATCATAAATCCTTCTTMTTRACATTTRCTCACTCAACTGYGGTCTATATAAAATGGAACTGCAATGCTTTTGGTCTGAATTCCTCCTTATTGTAACTCCACAAGCCCCTCGTTCACCCCTTTTCTGAGGTGTATCTCAGATCAATTCATCTTGACACTTTTAATCCAAACAAGGCACTTRACATCCACTTTCARKTTTATTTTTAAAGGAAATGTGAAAGTAACTTTACACTTACTCAACTCAGTTGAGTGGATATTGTTGACATAACTTAGTTAGGTAAATCCTACAATCTATATTTTGAGTTTATTTCCCCTTTAGGAACACATAAAAAAACACAGCTTTCCTTTGAGCTGCAGGTATTTTTTTTTACCTTGTATTCCTGAATGACTCCATCCTCTTCCACCTCTGAGGGTGGTTTCCAGGAAACAATGATAGCTGTCCCATTGGCATCACTCTTTGTGACAGTGACACCCTGGGGGGCTCTTCTAGGGGCTAAGACAGTGATATAGTCAGTTAAGTGTTAAAATTTTGAGATTCTCACCTGATGTTGTTAACATGAAAAAATAAAAAAAAATAAAATAAAATGAAAATATGTCACCTTCTTCTAATGTCCGGACCACCTTCACCTCGCTGTCAGCTCCCTGGAACTCATCAAAGAAAGGCCGCACTTTGAACTCGTAAATCGCCCCTCTCTTCAGCTGACCGATCATCACCCCGTCCTCCGGCAGAGCCCGCTCCTCCAGGACACTCCACTGTGCCTCAGGCTGGCCATGCTCGGCAGACGTCCTGTAAAGCACCTTGTAACCCTGGATATAAGGTGACTGCTGCTCCACCTATGAAGACCCAGCAACAAAACATGTAGCATTTCTTGTCAACAACATAGGCTTTTAAACATTTGTATGGCTTAGATAAAAAATATATATTCAATAGTTTTTGAGTAACATCATTTCGTAGGAAGGCTTAAATAAAACTTAGTTACCTCACTTTTCCACTTGAAAAGTGAGTTGTCTGTGTCAACCAGTTTGAGGTTTTTAATAGTTTCCTCTCAGCAGGGTTTGGTTTAAAATAAACCAGAAGACTAAGCACTTTCCATTCAAACCAAACTATTTTGGCAATGGGTGCCTCAAGAGATTTATGCAGAGACATCAACAGAAAAATGTTGCTATCTATTTATGTTTTGAACAAACTGAATTGTTTTTGTACTGTTTACTCTTTGACAACTTAAAAAGAAAAAAAAATCATTCTGTACATACAGTATAAAACAGAAACCCTTCTTAAAACTTGCATTTCTGATTATATGTCTGCATTTTTTACCTGTTTTATTTAAGTAAAAGACATATTTAAATGTAGTATAGCATATGACCTGTCACCATACTTGGCCAAACTCTGACAACCATGAGTGCACAGGGCTGTCTACATGGACTGATCCCCTTACCATCCACTTTACTCTAACAGCAGAAGATGACAGCACTGTTGGTGTGTACAGGTGTATCACAACATCTCCCAGCTCTCTCTGGATGTGACGATGGTCCACCCCCTGCATGGTGAAACCGCTGTCTGCGTATTTCAAAGGACAGACGGAAGTCAAAAAAAGCCGAATAGCCATGACGTTTTTCTGCAGTTCAGACATAAAGCGAAGCAGAGAAAAAGGGTGAAGGCCCCAAAACTCACCATGGGTTCGGACAGAATCAGAGATCGGACTGGGATCGCTGAGGCCATAAGAATTCATTGCTCTGACCATGAAGAGGTAAACAGCTCCAGGTTTCAGGTTTGTCAGGACAAAGTTCTCTGCCTTCACATGCTCTGCTACAGTCACCCATCTGTTGCCTAATGTGTAACTACAGAGAAAAGTAAGGGACAGAAAACAAATTATTGCAGGGGATTACTTGAATTTGAGATTAAAATGATAAAGAAGTCTACTTAAGCATTGCTGTTTCTAACCTGAATGCTTCAATTAAGTAAGACACCGGTGGTGCACTTGGATTAGTGCTGGATTGCCATGACAGAGTGATAGAAGTGCGGCTGACGTTGGAAACTTCAGGTTTAGATGGAGCACCAGGAGTCAGATGAGTATCTTTAGGGTGAATTGTCTGCACAACAACGCCAAATTCTGGCAACAAGAAACCAACAAATTTATTTAAAATAAATAATTATCGTTTTATTTATTTTTTTGTCACTGGGCTTCCATGTTGTAACTAACCTTCTACTTGCAAATATGCTGTCCAGGCAGCTTCTCCACTTGGACTGGAGGCGATGCATGTGTAGAATCCTGAATCTCCAAGCTTAGGAGAAAAGATCCAGGTATTCTTATTAGTAGGACTCAGCTCCTGTTCTTACCAACTGTTGTATTACTTCACCCCTTACTTTAGCATAGTGGATCTTCAGTGATCCGGTTTCTGTTAGGGACATTCGAGAATCCACAGGAGACACCACTGCACCATCCTTTTTCCAGTGGACTGTGGGAGGTGGGGTGCCAGCAGTTTGGCAACCCAGTACCACTGTGCTGTCTACAGGAACAGTCTGGTTGATTGGGCCTTGTCTAATGATGGGAGGAGGGTGGTCTGACCCAGCTAATAAAAAAAGAAACAGGAAGGTAATATATATATATATATATAAGTTCCCTTGTAGCTTCACCACACACTGTAAACAAGATAATGAAGCTGTTAGCATAGTTGTTACCTTAAATGATGCTGAAAAAAATACAGATTAAATCGTGAGGTAAGCCTTTTCTCACAGAGTAGTTAGAAACATACTGCATGCACACTAAAAAACTAAAAATAAAGCCTGGAAACAGAACATGGATGTGCGACTGGTGGCCTGTGGGTCACATAGGGTCCGCTGGTGACTTCCGTCCATTTTTGTTTGCTTCAAACATTTTTTTTATTCATATTTACTAAACAAGAGTAAATCTGTTATACGTGCATTTGAGAATGAAATATGTTTAGTTAATAAAATGTATGTTGGTTTAATAAACACACACAGATACTGTTCATACTCTTGTAAAAACCCCAAAAATACTGTGCAGAAGTTCTTAATTGTTAGTTTTCAAAATGTTGAGAACATCACCCAAAACCTGAGGAAATATTGAGAAATGAGTGATACTTACATTTCATTTGAATGCTATTTTATAGCTCTCAGAATCAGAGCTTTTGAGCTTGAAATACCCATCCCAACACGCTGAGACAGCCTCTTAATGCAAAAACATCTTTTTTTCATAAAAGTGATGTCAACAGGTGATCAACCCATTTATCATGGACTCAACTCAGCCTTTCTCAACATAGGGCACATTCAAAMGTTTTCTATTGGGTCTTAGGACCTTAGTTTTAACTTATGATGTTTGACTAACCATAGAACAAGCACCAAGAACACCATGACCTTGATATCTTCCATTGTTGGGTGTCACCAAAAAATGCCATCAAACAAATGTCAGGTTGCCTTGCTTTGATGATCCTACACTTAAAATAATAACATCTTATAAGCAGCACGTGTCTGACAGTTGTGTGATACAACCACCAAGTCGTGAAAGGTGATGACTCATGAAAAGCCTTGATGTTACCACTGTTTAACTCTTTCAAGTGCCAGTAACACTGACTAATGCATTTGTGAAGCATCTCCTGTATCTTGTGACCTTCACTCTCTGCTTTGATGGTAGTTTATACACTCCAGCAACTACCTAATAACACCACCACATTTGCTGTCTGATGACTGTTCTTGACAAGTCAGCTCTTTGCAAATTACAGTATATCATTTGCATACTSATTGCTACTTTGCATGTGTACCAAACTAAATTCAAATCAGTCCATCTACTTCAGCTGTGTATAGTTTCTTTTAGTCTTTTTTGTCTGTAGGCACATGTTGGGACCTTAGAAACTGGAAGCTGTTGTTCAAAAGAAGTTAAAGTTATAAACAGAGAGAGACAAAAAGTAAAGATGAAAAATGAGAAAATAAATATGAAGTGGTGAAAAGGGTTGAAAGAGATAAGATGTGAAAGATATTGAGAAGAAAATTGGCAAAGCAGGAGAACAATAGACTTAGGTGGATGTGCAGTTTGTGAAGGGGGAAAAAAAGAAATCAACTTTTCCCCTCCAGCGGAGGGCAACTAATCATTCATTGGGTAGAAAGTACTGCTGGAGCCGGATCCAATCATGACAGCAAAGCCCAACTAATAACAGTTCCACTTAGATAACAGAACCCCTTCTCTCTCACACACATACACACATTTTAAAACCCTGTGAGTGGGGGTGGCTGGGTGAAGGTTTTAGACAGATAAATAAATAAAAAATACCCCCTAAAAGTGATGGAAACATGCTTTGAAAACTGCCAGAGGTAATGTGAACCAGCTATTACCATACAAATGCACCACTCCAATTGAGGATGAAAGGAATGTGGTGGGATGGGGAGATTTTTTTTTTTTTTTTTTTGGTGAGGAGAGAGCAGAGAGAAACAAGCACGAGTTAGAGAGCAGATCTATGCAGACCAGTGGAAAAAATAACCCGACAAAAAGACATAACCATCCACCATCTCATCAAAATCATCCACTGAGTGAATGCCCGCTGTGTGCGAAACGACCACGACTGCCAGTCTTGCACTTAATAACTCCACGTGCAGATGCATTTACTATCTGTGAAAACCTGAAGCCAATTATCTCCATTAAAATAACGCATGTACATTTCACCAAGTTACATGTATTCATGTTCACACAGGTGTGCAATTACTGGTGTGGGCCTCCGAGCACAGTTAAATTGCTTTTCCAAAGCCATTAACAGATATTTCATCATGTAGGCTTTGGATTAGAGTCCCTTAGAGCACTTTCTAGGGTTCCTCCATCTTCATCCACACATATCTGTCCTTAAACAAAGCAAAGACTTTGCTGTGTGAACGTAGAGTACAATAAGTAGATATTATTATATTTAATTATTTTTTGTTTAAATGTTTAACATCTAAGGTAGGATTTAGACAAAAACAGATACTGATAGGCATTATTTGGACACAAGAGGTTTTGAACCCAGCATCAGAACAATGGATAGCACTTTATWATAACTACAACTTATTTAGCCTTGAAAACATCATTATTAATTCATACTTAAAACAATCTATAAATTAACACATTTATTCATGCTTTGCCCATAAAGGCTATATTACTTCCAAAACCAACATACCCATTGTCTATTTATTCTTAATATCTGATGACTTAACTATTCCATATTTGTGTGTAGTATATGGGAGGGGTTTTATTATCTGTGGATATGCTCACATAAATGCACTTTCATACCATGTGTCAGTCAAGTATGTTTGTTAGAAGATGTTTGAATTGGCAATTTACCAATCCAGCAGTGCATAAATAATTCAGGCAGTTGTTAGTAGTTAGTTAAGTCTTTTTTGTGAACCCTTCTAAAGTGAAGACTATATGCTTTTTATTATTATTTATTAATATAAACAAAYCTCACTAAGTACATACACAGAGTCTTACTTTGACTCATTCATGCATGTTTTAAAGATRCTTGAATTTCCTGTGGTAGCCATGTGGAGCTGCCTGAAGGCTTGCTTGTACAAAGCACCGCCTATTTACACAAAGCTCCTCCCTGTAGCTCAGTCTCCCACCCCAGAGAGCACCCCTCCCTCAAAGCATTGTTTTGAAGACATGCTGAAGTGGGAGAGCCAAAAATGGCATGAGGTTCTTAAAGAGACAGAAGTCAATTTCAAGACATTTAGATGATACAAAGTCAATTTTATTTTTGATATATACAGCTTTTTATAACTGAAGGTGACACAATTACATTTTTGTGGTATTAAATCGATATGTGCTTGGAAAATACTCCCAACCACCACCTCCCTAAGTAAGGCTAAATAAGAGGTAGCTATTATAAAGTGCTACTGAATAAGATTATGTAAAAATAAATAAATAAAAAAAATTCCAGCCTAAAACCATAGCTAGTCTCAAATCCCCGATTAGGGCTGTTCAATCCAGTCTGTAATTGAAGCAAAAATGAGGCCTAATATGCAGGTTTAATAAAAATAGAAGATCCAACATGATCTATTTAATTAAAAGACAAAAAAAAAAAAAATCAAGCCAGATACAGTATGTATGTAACAAAAATCTCCTCTCCAACACTCATTCCTTTTACTCACCATCTGTAACCTCAAGCAGTGCTTTAGTAATAACACTGCCAGCAATGTTGAGAGCCTGGCAGATGTAGAAGCCGGCGTCAGGGCGCTGAACATCCGTGATGGTCAGGCTGCCCATCTGAGAGACGGACAAGCGGCTGAAGGGCTGAGGTGGCTGGTAGGAGAACAGAAGACTCTGAGGACGACACAGACAGCGCAGTTAGAAACCCATTTATTTACACGGAGCTGTGATTTAGTGTGATGACAAGACTGGGGGGTCAGTCTCACCTCGCTGCCCTCCCTCTGCCAGAAAATAGCAGGCTGTGGGTTACCAGTGGCTTCACACTGGAAGGTGACCGTCCTGCCTACTGACACCGCCTGGTTCCTGGGGCGAATGGCAAACACAGGGGGCACTGCAGAGGAAGAGAGGCTCTAATTAACTGGCAGCCTAACACATGTTCATCWCTCTCAGCTTTAGAACTTCTCAGTGTGCATAAAGAGATCAAATAATTAAGGGCCTCATACATTAGTCAGGTTTTTACTTTCTCAAAAAAAAAAAAACTGTTATTCATTTACCCACACCAAACATGCATTACATACTGTAAAGGTGGATTGAATTACATGACAGAGGCATGATTTCCTGTTGCTGTCTGATGGTGGATGAAGGATGGATGACAACTTACCAGTATTGACTAAAAGAGAAGAAAACACAAAAGAGCAGTGTAATGAGTAACCATGTTGAATGACAGGATGTAGAACTTCAAGGATGAATTAGACAGTATCTAGACATATTTAAATGAGTCAGAATAATGTAAGGACAGACATTAGGACACAATATAAAATGTCCTCAGCTCCCAAAAATTTGCACTCGCTGTTTCCAGTTAACYTGCATCTTTTTCGAGCTGCCTATGGTCATTTGTTTGTGCTGTATGTGCAGGTATTTAATGACTCTTTCTAACAGCTCATTTTGGTCTGTTTGCAGTCATTTCACATATGTTTAATTTTGTGTTTATTGTTGTTTTATGTCCTTTCAGCCATATGCCTCTCATAGTTTATTTTTGCTTCTCTTTGCATAGATTTACCTGACTGAAATTGCTGGCTGTGTAACTGTTTGAACAACTTTTTTTTGTCATTTTGGTTTCATCAAAGCTAGCAAAATGTGGATACACACAGGAGTGTCCAGTTAGTGGTTTACTTGATTAATAGTCACTTTCTTCCATTTTATTGATGTGGATGCATGTGCACTGACCATTTGCACTACGTAAAAAAAAATGAGGGGACAAATTTACTTAAGGAAAAAAGCTTAAACAAAATATATTTTTATGTATGTCCAACGACTGTGTATAACAAATACACAGAATCACTGAATTAGAAACATGCCGTTTTTCAGAGGCAGTATAGGAAACTAAAACTGGACAATATATATCAAAAATGTATTGACATTACAATATACAGTAAGTGAATGCAGTAGGCTGTTACATTTTAAGCATCATGCAATTATTTTCCATGGACCTTTTCACAGATAGTGCCGTCTTTGCCTACTGCAAAGCATTATAGTCCAGTTTGGGGGCATCCAGTGCCGGTGTGTGACCTGAATGGAGATTGCTGTGCTGTGCTGTCTTGTATTTATGGGCAACAATGACCATAGATACATGAAAAGAGGTTAGATTATATGAAGTAATGAAAACTCAAGGTTGCCACACTAAGGTCCAGAATTATACATAGGTTTAGCATTATAGTAAAGGTGTAGTATTACAGTACAGGTCTAGTGTTAAATATGTTGATGTGGTTTACAGCTACCTTGACCGTGAATCAAATTGTCCAACTAAAGATCATGTGGACTATCTTACAACTTAAACACATCTAAACAGTTGTATACAGTTTATTTAATAACAATAATATGCACCATGCAAGAGGTTACAGCCTTTAATAACAAATACATTAGTAGCATTAAAATTAAACACATACATTAAATAAATATCTGCCAAATTTGATGTGTGGCCAAGAAGGATAAATTCTATTCAGCATTTAATGAATCATTGGTCAATCTGCCTCAAGATTGTATATGGGTTATATGTTCATCACCCGGTCCCACAGGTGTTAATATTATTAATAAGATCGTTGTATACCTAAATTTCCTCTAGCAATATTTTTGACATTGTGAAGCAATATTTTAGGTGTTAGTTGGAAAATTTCAGCCGTTCTGGACAAACTTGGTTCTTTTTCTGATTAGACATTGGTACACCACAAACCAAAAATAAACAAATAAATAAAAATAATGTTTGAATGTGTGCAACAGTTTAATCTTTGAAGTTGGAGAGCCTGTCCCATCCTTGATTTTTCTTTTGGTTGCCTCCAAACAGTCCCACAAACCTTTGCACACCCTATGTAGGCGGTGCCAAACAGTATCCGCAAAAAGGTCCATGTGAACAATTTTTTTGTTCATTCCAACAGACTCTTGCTGACACTGATGCCCACACATGATTTAGATGTTAGTGAAATAGTGACGACAGAAGACAAAGTGAGAAATGTGACAGAAATGTGAGTTCATTGCAATTAATATCATTATTGCAATTTTAAACAATAATATTGCACATCAGAAGTCTTTCTGATATATTGCAGCCCTATTAGAATCATGTCAAATTTTAAACACGCTAACAAATTCTGTTATGTGTCTACAAATTACACAGGCTGAAAATGAATATTAAATATGTTAGAAGGAGGGTTTTGTTTATAATCAAATATTGATTGGCACAATTTGCCATTTTTTTCAGAACAAACATTGGTCTCTTGGAACTGAGATTATTTCAATATCTGCAAAGTACTACACATTAGGATGAGAGGCAAGCTGCCAAGCTGATTTGGAGCATCTATGAGCAGAAAATATATATATTTTTTTCTCAAACATGTACAATTTGTAACATATAAGGGTTACGTCTTCTATTTCATGTTGCAAGTATACAAAAGTCTGCAGGTAGTTCAGACTGTACAGTAGCTACAACTTAAACAGGCTCTTGTGTTTCATTTAATTAAATGGGATTTCTCTGTATTTTTCAAAAAAAAATACAGTCTGCTCAACTGGCATATTGTGGCTCATCTTCTATTCTCAATAAAAAAAAGGGAAAAAAAACTGGTGGTTCCCCTCAAAGCTCTGTTTGGGGTATGTGGAAGAGAAGGAAGACAATGTAATTGGAGCCATGCCACTTCCCAGCAAGCCGCCACAGCTACCTTATCTTTAATTAAGTCCTACTGGCCTCGGTATATTTCTCCCACCGCGTCACAGCGATGTGTTTAATTGAACAGGTCTGTGTGTGCAACTTTGAGCTGTCTTACTTCCTACTTTACTGCCACAAATCATGGTGAGTCACTGAGGCAGAACAACTRGGACCTAATGAATTTTGTCGTTTTTGTACTTGTTACACATTCACTGACTATGAAATGCACAGTAAACAAACCCTTGCAATATACTTGTGTGCTTGTTAAGATATGCTGATTGCTGTAGACTTTATTTGACCTCCAGTCAGGATGTCGGTAATGTAAAAAAAAAAAAAAAAAACAGAAGGATTAATTCGGTCTTTCTGTACTGTTGAAGAAAAACTGAGTCACAGTTGTGAAAAGTGTGTTTACTTAATAAAAGACTAAGAAGCTTTTCTAAACATGTTATTGATTAGAAATGAATGTCTGAGTRACAGCTTTAAAGAACATACTTATTTGGCTTGAGCTGGACAAAAGAGGTGAAGGAAATCGTTCAGATTGGGAGCTTGAATCATGCGCAGAAAACCCATTAAGTTCTCAGTCGAATGTTTATTTTTAGATTTAAAGACACCATTTCACTCCAAGCCTGTCTGWGACTCTGGAAACCTAAAACAAAATGGCCACGAATAACATATACTTTCAATGTTTATAGTAAACCTGGTCACACCCCAGATATGATGTGATAATAAAGAAGTAAGTACCCCTAAAACAAGTGGCAAAACCCATGCAGCTGATGTACCAGGATTCAGTCCTAGGTAATGAAATTGTTGCTGCAATGAGATGTTAAATAAAGTGCAAATACAGGTAAGGATACTGGAGCTAAACCCGAATTTTTATTGTTTTTTTTATTTATGTAAATGTACCAATTTTTTGTGTTTTATTTTTATTATTACCGGATTTTGTGAAGTTATACCACCTGTGAAATGACTTGTGAATACATGTTCCGACTAAAAGCATGGGATTTAAAACATTAGCCTATGTTAACTGTAGACTGGACCGTCTCATTGGCCATTTTAAGCAGCCTACATGGATGGCCATTGGCCCACGTAGGGTCTGGCCTACATAGACTGCAACCCCTAATTTGAGACAACACTTGTGTGTTTACACTGTTGGAGTGAGGCACATGTTACGCTAAACAGAGACTTGTTGATTATTTTACTGTTTAAAGTAAATTATTATAATCAATCCYATAAGTGTGTATCTGAAACTCCACAGTAAACCTAACAGCTTCATTACATGTGAAGGTCGGGTTGTACTGACCGTGCACAGTGAGCGTGGCAGACGCTTCCGACTTCCCAACCATGTTCTCTGCAACACATGTATAGGAGCCCTCATCTGAAGAGGTAACTTGGCGAACAATCAAAGTGTGGTCCTCTAGGATTTCAAATCTGCGGGCAGGACGGACACAAAGGCTCGAGAGATCAAACAAAATGCTGAGACACTTTGTTTGCATAGCAAGAGATGCTCGGTGAGTTACCTGCCCTTAGGTAGGTCAGAGTCGTCTTTCCTCCAGCGGACAGTAGGAACGGGGTCTCCTTGAACCATGCAGTGAAACTCCACGCTTTCGTCAGCCAACAACACTACACTGCTGGGACGCTTCACAAAGGTTGGCCTCTCTGGAATGCAGTACGACAGGAAGAGACAAAGACAACGGTATACTTACAGTACACAGTATATTTCAGGATTTTAATGATGACATTATTGAGAACACAAAGGTTAAAAGTGCACCCAGAATCTGATGGATTTTAGCTTAGGTTTAAAAAATGCATGGTAAAACTACTTTTGAGCAGATTATGTAAAAGTAACATGAAAAACCGTAAAAAAYCACTACTAGAACTGATCTAAAGATCAAGGCTTGTTCTGTAAAATTAACTCGGGATGGTTCACTTGTTATGTGTATGACAGCGCTGAAAGTTTCCAGAGGAAAAACTGCTTACAAAAGTCAAACTGTTATTTTATGCAGAATAAGGGCTTGCTCGGCATAAAAAGCACCACTATCACGACACGGCAAGTTTTAAAAACTTGTTGGAGACAGAAAATGGAAATAAACTACCCCAAGTGAGGGATGGATCGTTAGAATTTTGAGCCATTGTGCAAACTCTGGTTTGCATCCTCATAAAGAGGGATGCATTCTGTACAAATATAATGAGTCCAATCACTCAAGAAGGCTTTGCAACATGCCCATAAACATGAACAACAAAGCACAAATACAAAAAAAAAAAAAACGCTGACTTTCTATTCACGAAGAACTGACTCTTCAGATTTCACATCAAATTGTAAAGTGTTTTCAAATGTATGCTCTGTGCCCATTGAAATAAAATTTGGCAAAACCCAGTAACAAAATATCAGATTTTATTTGTACAATTGAAATGCTTTGTTAATGGCATTTGAATAAGATACTTTCTATTCCATCTAGCTATTTATTTACTAATCCTAATTCTAATCCTAATATTAGTGGAGCACTGTAGATATTTTCTTGAAAACCTCCTACAACAGCAAAAAATTAGTYATATCCAAATACTCAATGGGTAGACTGAATCAAAAAAAGAAAATTGTATTATAATAACCAAATGTATTTATATATAATGTGTTTTGAGTATAACATGACCCTCATTTTTARGCTTATTAAACATAAAATATGTGTATCATGCTACTCCTAATTTTTAACATACATGTTTCAGCCTTTGCGGTGTACCCTCTGGTGGGAACACATATTATTTGGGAACACACTTGTGGGRGTGTTAGGATGGGGATTTTGATGACTTATTTCCCAGAACACAATATTTCAGTTTTGTAAAAGACAATTTCAAAATTTTGGGGGGTTTAATTTATTTTACTTTGCTTGCATATTGCATGGCAGTCTATTATTTAAGGTACCTGTTTTACTTGATATGATTTGTGTTGAAAGTCTCATAGCCATGAAACACTCTGAGGCACAACAATGGGCACAGCATAAATTTTCAACCTAAACTTAATTACCTGGTAGTGATAAGAGCCCTGTTARGATGAAAGTGTTAGTAAAACAAGTGGTGGATAGCACTGAGAATCTAGGGTGCTTTTAGGCATTAGAGTGTACAGACAGTGTCAGAAGCTCAGCTCCACAGGGAGCTCTTATACTGAAAGGTTGTAACAGTGAATATGGGAGCTATGGATGCTGATCACTTTTTTTAAATTTTTTAATTTTTTTTGTGGGAAACCTCTCCAGAAGCTGCCAGACTGAGAAGGTAACGCTGCATAATCAACATAATTAACAGGTTATCATTTCAACCCAGTGACAACAATTTCAAACATCAGGCTGGCAGAGCAAAACCACATGAACTGGGAAAGAAATTCGAACAAGTGAAGCAGTTAAACACAATGTAATGCAACGACAAAGTTGCCAATATCACCTAGAACTGTGAGCTCGGCAATTTCGCTCTCCCTCTCTCCCACCATGTTTGTTGCAACACAAATGTATTTTCCTGCATCGCTCTTCCTGGTGTTGGTGATCATGAGCTTGCCGCTCCGGATCTGAAAAAACAAGCAGGAAAAGAATGTTTGCACAGTTGTATTTGCACAGGTTTTCACTGTCCTGATGTTTGCATCGTTCATCAGATGACTGATTGATTGCATATTCATAATGCATGTATTAATCTGACTGCAAATTGAATGTTGAGTTAAAATCTGCCACAATTCTCATTTGCTTTGAGATATTTACTCTCAGGTATGATGGCATCTGCATATAAACTAATCTTTTGGCTAACTAGCCTTCGAAAAATTACCATAGTTTTGATGCACGTAATGGCATGGCAGCATATAGAGCTACATTTGAAATTTGGGCTGCCTTTCAAGCTGCACAGAAGGTCACCTATTATAAATTACATAATTCATATCTAGTGCTGCACAAGAACCCTGGGAACAAAGGCAGAGCCTCTTTGTAGAGATGTTCCTTAGATGTTCTGTCAGCCTGCTTTGCCTTTCCCAAACTTTTCACCCTTTCTGCACGCATATCTGTGCACACAAACACAAGGCACACCCACACATACAACAAAGAGGTTGAAGACATGTGCACTCCAGCATGCTGTTTCCAGTATTTTCTCTACTCCACACTCCCACAGACTTTAGTAGATGTTTTATAGTGCTTTGAAGGTGAGCTTCTGCGCTGATAGTCAGCGGCTACTTAGTGTTAGAGGTGATGCCAGAGCAGCACTGAGCAGATTCGCTAAAGCAGACGGGAAGCAGGCTGATCCGAAGACCTCGATACAAACAGAAAGCTGCTTTTTGCATTCCGGCATTGGAAGCCTTCTGCCAGGCCATCAGCTTCAATTAAACTTTCATCCCAGTTATTATGCTTCAAGATTGCTTCTTTCCACACCTACACTCAGCTATAGAATCAAACTATTCATGTATGCCTGCTAGAAACACACAGAGCACAAAGCAGCGCTGCCATTTCTTAGCAGAAGTCAAGGGGCCAAGGCTGCCTGCAGTGCTGCGTACAGAAAGCAGGAGCTCAGCTAGACAGCACCTGGCTTGCTGGGTCCTCTTAAAAACCACCACCTAGCAGACAGAGTAACCATTAAATTGGTGCTGCAGGGATGAAACCAGCAGCCTCTCATTTAGTAGTCAGCCTCCTTCAGGGCAAAACCGTCCACCACAAAGAGACAAGAAAATAAATAAGAAAAAAAAGTCTTAAACTCAACTGATTTCCCAGATCTGTTACAAATGATGTAGCTTCAACAAAATATGTACTAAATCATTGTGTATTTTGAATATAAAATGCTAGCCTCTAGTAATTTTGAGAACTGGTGTTGCACAGATTCCTTCTTCTTACCATTCTGTGATTTATAATTGGATATTTTGGAATGTAGGACCAAAGCAAAATGTTCACTATTTAAGAAAACATTGTTTTCATGAAGTCTTAGCACACAAGAAAGATCCACATGTAATTAAAGCCCAATTATTAATAAATGTAACAATATATGGCATCAGTTGTCAGAGTTGAAAATAATTCTAAAATATTCAAGTTAAAGTTACATGGTTGATTTTTTTTTTGCTCAAAGACAAGTGAGGCTACTTGTGTAAAATAATTCTCAATTCAAAAAATAAAAAATGCAAGTCATTACAAATATACTTTGAATAAAGCTTAGATACATTTTTACAGCTGGACAATATCTGTCCTGGGTTGCACAAGCAAAAGGAGATTTATTGTATTTTTCTCATATGAGCTCTTATTTTGAAAAAAAAAGCATCATCTTTTAGTATGCAGTTCCAAACCAAATGTATCCACACATAATATTAAAAGTGCCCTTGGGCAAGACATTTCACCCACCTTGCCTACTAATGGTGGTCAGAGGGATCGGTGGTGCCGGTGCATGACAGCCCGACTGCTGTCAGTGTGCCCCAGGACAGCTGTGGCTACAATGTAGCTTACCACCATCAGTGTGTGAATGTGTGTGAACGGGTGAATGACTGTAGTGTAAAGCGCTTTGGAGTTTGTTGCTGTTTATATTGGCACTGTTGCAGTATTAATCTTAAATATTAAATAATGTTAACAAAAAAGTGATATTATTCAGCTGGGAGTTCACTATGAAGAGCTGTGCAAAAATAATAAAAAAATACAGGCGTTTCAGTTAAAACATCAGATTGTGTTGGTACAGAAAAGTTGATGGATTTGAAATGGATCTCAAAACTGAATAGGTGCATGGCTGCTCTATTGTTAAAGTCACTTTATGGACATTTATGTTGTGAATCAGTAATCACGTCCTCAATTCCCTAAAAGGCAAAAATAATGGGAAGCTTGTGACTGTGGTATTGTTTAAACGTCATATGCTTCAAAAACAGATAAATTGCTTTCACTCAAACCCATGCCCACACTTAATTTATGCAAATATACATGTAAAATAACACTACAATGATCACAATTTTATCAAATAGCTAATATTACCGGCAGTCCTTACTGCAAGAAAAACACTATAAGATTTATTAGCATGAATCGCTTGTGCTGCTTGATTTTGGTTTCCTTGCAGTTTGTAGCCCCTTTCAGTGAACATCACTGGCAAAGACTCATTCCCAAACAGAAAAGATGATTAGGGAGGACAGAGAAAGGCACATGGAAAGTACAAAGCAAAAGGCAGCCTTTGTATTTCCCTCAGTGGAGCCTCTTCCCCCCTCCTGGCTCTGATCTGTTCGTCTCCTTAAATCAGAGTGAGCTGTTCTGTCCATCACATCCCCCTTGAGAGATTCTACCTGTCACACCACACCAGCATGATCTTCGAATCCTGTCCTGCTTGTCTCCAGGAGCATGCACATTCATAAAATCAAATCTCACATGCACACTAATTAATAAAACAAAGTTGATTTTACTCCATTGGGTTTCTGAGTTCAGGGAAAAGTTGCCTGTCCTTTCAGATGCAAAATTAATGTGTTCTACAGTAAGGCATTATTATTACGGATTGTCTTTTTTTTTTCTTTACCATTCATTGCCAGGAACATTTCTGAGTACTATTT